CTGGCCAATGAAATAAGACTTGAAAAGAAATGAAACATTTAACTGTTTGAAGTGAGAAAATAGTATCATTATTTGTAGCCCACAGGTTTCATAAAATTAGAAAATTCATGAGACTTAATGACAAATTATTAGAACAAATTTGAAAATTTGGTGAAATGGCAGGACACATGGCAATGGCCCTAGAAACTCTTTATCCGGGAATTCAGATTTTGAAAGCATAATACATACACAGGACAGCAAGGGAGGGGAGGGCAGCAACCTATCTTAGCTGCTGGTCAAATCAGTTGGCATCACTTGTGAAGAGTTACTGCAGCACAATTGTCTTCATAGCTACTAACCAATCAAAGTATCTGGGAAAGATGATCTCATTCATACTAGTAGCAATGATCATAATACACAACACAGTATCACATAATAGTAGCATCATAAAGTAGAAATAAACCGAATGCTGGGACTTCCCTGGTGGTCCAGTGGCTAAGACTTTGAGCTCCCAATGCAGGGGGCCCAGGTTTGATTCCTGGTCAGGGAGCTAGACCCCACATGCCACAAGTAATCATTTGCATGCTGCAACTCTAGATCTCATATGCTGCAATTAACACCTGAAGCAGCCAAATCAATAAGTAAATAGAATGAAAGTGTTAAAGAAAAGTTAGTCATTATTTAAAGAAAAAAACTTATGGGGAAAAGGAAGGACTAGAATAAATGAGGTTAGGACAATTGATCTTTTCTTCTGCTGTGGACTGAATTGTATCTTCCCAAAATTCGTTTGTTGAAGGCTTAGTGCCCCAGTTGACTGTTTTGAAGATAGAGCTTATGGCAGGTAGTTGAGGTCATGAGTCTAGTGCCCTAGGATTGGTGGTCTTTTAAGAAGAGAAAATGTGATGACATGGAGTGAAGGTGGCAGTCTGTAATCCAGCAAGAGGGTTCTTACTGGCAGCCAGTTTGGCTGGCACCTTCACCTTGGACTTCCCATTCCCCAGACTGTGAGGAAATACATTTCTTTTATTCAGGCCACTCAGTGTATGGTATTTTGTTATGGCAACCGGAGCTGACCAATACATCTTAGTTAACTCTACCTCTTAAGGCTTTGTCTAGTATTAAAAAAACTTTCAACCTAAAAAAGCTAACAACAAATAGGAGAAAGATTGTCAAGTATTTTCAGAAAATTTGGCAAAGCTTCAGTATCTTTGTCATAAAAAACATCTTACAACTTGATGAGAAAGAACATCTGAAACTTAGAAGAGAAATGGATATAAGATATACGAATGCAGGGGGAGGGGTGGGGGGAGGTCCAAGAGGGAGGGGATATATGTATACCTGTGCCTGATTCACTTCACTGTACAGCAGGAACTAACACAACATTGTGAAGCAGTTATCCTTCCATCTAAAAAAAAAGAAAAGAAAAAGAGATCTACAAATGCAATTTACAAGAGAAAAGCAGAACTAGAATGAGCCACGTTTTCTTAGAAATGCTTCTTGAAAATGGGAAAGAAATCCAAAAGAGAGGGGATATGTGTATACATATAAGTGATTCAGTTTGCTCTACAGCAGACACTTAACAAGACTGTAAAGCAACTACGTTCTAATAAAAACTAATTAAAAAAGAAATGCTTCTCGAGTTGGCGAGGGGGTAGTTTTGGCCATTGTGGCTGGTGAGCCGACATCCATCTGTATTGTTTGGGTAGCCCTCTTTGCTGCGGATGCATTTGTGCCTCTCAGTCTTCAAATTCTGTTGATGTATTTGCTCCCTTGCTCCTCTCTCCTTAAAGCCATGGTGCTCTGGCTTTATAACACATGCATGTCACATGTAAAGATTGCAGCTGGCTCAGTGTACTCATCACGTGACCTTCATGAAACATACACTTTCTCCATGGTAGAAACTACTTGTGTCTATCTGCCAACTTACACTTGGCATCTTGCACCAAGCCGGGAGGGCACAAGAATATACCCAGTGGGCGTTGATGGAGGCAGGCTGGTTGTGGGCCTGTCCTCACTGGCCCTTCTTCTGTGCTCATGAAACTTAATCATGGGAAATGGTCACGAAGAATAAGATGACAGCAAGTCTGGGCCCTCCCCCTGGCCCGGCCCCTGGTCCAGGGGGCACACCTGGGCAAGTCACTGGATCTCTTTCCTTGCATCCCTCATCTCTCTGAGAAAAGGACTGGACTTTCCAAACTCCTCAACCCTTGCCCCATAGGCAGGGTTTTTGTGGAGCATTACAGTCCACAACTTTGTTTTCCCCACATAAAATGGGACAGATATAATCTTTCCTAACTGCACATTGTCTTCCGTTTTCCGCTCCTTCCTCCTCCCCGTCAACCTCTGAGCCAGAAGGTGACTGCAGGTGGGCCTTTCCAAGTCTGCAGACGTGGGTGAAGATCTCTCACAGCTTGACATGTCCTTAGTTCAAAGGCAGGAACGAGGTAGTTGACTTTAAAACACTAGAGTCACGTGAAACATTATTTGTTCAGAAAACGCATTTTAGGAGTCTCCACATGGACTTCCCTAGTAGTTCAGTGGTTGAGAATCTGCCTGCCAATGCAGGGGATCCTGCGTGGGTTCGATCCCTGATCTAGAAAGATCCCACATGCAGCTAAGCCCATGTGCCACCACTACTGAGCCCGCCCTCCTGAGCCTGCGCTCTGCAGCAAGAGAAGCCTCTGCGCTGAGAAGCCGCACACCACAACAAAGGGTAGCCCTGCTCACTCCAACTCGAGAAAGCCTGTGAGCAGCAATGAAGACCCAGTGCAGTCCCACTAATTAATTAATTAATGTTAATTAGAGACCTTTATGGTATCCTGGGATAGTCACAGTTAAATAAATGTCCTGCTATTAGGACTTCTCAGTCTATTTTGGGTGGACATTGAAATCTTGGAGAAGGGAATAAGTGTGTGGCTTTTCCCTCACCTGTTTGACCACAGAATCCTTTTCTTGGAAAATCTTAAGGGCCTGATATTCTGCGGGACTTACTTTGGGAAGTGGGGACTTTTGTTTTTGCCTGTGTTTGCACAGGCACTGATTCAGCCTTCACTTTGAGGCCTTAAGACTTAACATGGTTTAGCCTCCATTTCAGGAAAAAATACAAATTTTTTATCAGAAGCAGAGAGATGTCAGATTATGAGGTCATTGCTGTCCATACTGCCTAGCTGTCACAAACACAGTACAGTCACTGTCTACAGTGGAGAGGATTACATTAGTTGAAAGAAAAACCTGATAGCTCTCAAATTTTTGTGAGTATAGCAGAGTAGCTAAATTAAGATTATGTCTGTTAGTACTGTGAGATTCTTCTTCAGAAGTTTCGAGGGGACTAGTTCAAGTTGATCTTAGAATATGTTTATTAAACACAATGTCTTTGGACATAACTGAGGATCAGATGCCTCTGTGGTTTCTGGGAGGAGGCAGAGAGCTGTAACTTCTGAGCATCACCAGCATTCCTTCACTAACAAGGGTCCAGATTTTCATATTTATCCCAGACTGTCTTTCTGAAATACATTTTTGTAGACTCTTGCTTCCCTTCTGCCCTGGATAAGAGTCGGGATGAGAAAATCGAGCCCTATGCAAGTCATTCCCAAGAGCAATAAACAGAATCAGAGAGGCCACTGGAGGATTGCTCTTGCCATTTAATGGTCTGAGGACAGGGCGTCTGAGTTCATGAACTCGCAGCAAAGTGGGAAGGAGAAATTCTTTAACTGTGGTTTCTTTGAAATGTAGAATGCTCATCATTGCCTTAACAAGCTTCCAAAAGTTTCTAGCTCGTAAGAAATAATACATTATGGTAATGAAGAACAGGGAAGGCACTCTCATCTAATGACAGGCCTACTTATGCTTTAAATTAATATTTCTGCCTTGGAAGGCCTGGCTGTGGAGAGCCGCCATCACTGGCTTACCATGCAGCCTGTTGTCGTTGTTCAGTCTCTGAGTTATGTCTGACTCTTTGCGACCCCAGGGACTGCAGCACGCCAGGCATCCCTGTCCTTCACTATCTCCCAGAGCTTGCTCAGACTCATGTCCATTGAGTTGATGATGCCATCCAACCATCTCATCCTCTGTTGCCCACTTCTCCTCCTGCCCTCAATCTTTCTCAGCATCAGGGTCTTTCTAATGAGTTTACATCAGGTGGCCAAAGTTTTGGAGCCTCAGTTTCAGCATCAGTCCTCCCAATGAATATTCAGGGTTGAGTTCCTTTAGGACTAATTGGTTGGATCTCCTTGCAGTCCAAGGGACTCTCAAGAGTCTTCTCTGGCACCACAACTCGAAAGCATCAGTTCTTCGGTGCTCAACCTTCTTTATGGTCCAGTTTTCCCATCCATACATCCCTACTGGAAAAACCATAGGTTTGATGATATGGACCTTTGTCAGCAAAGAGATGTCTCTGCTTGTTAATACACTGTCTAGGTTTGTCATAGTTTTCCTTTCTTGTGGCCTGATGGGGTGTTTTTAAGGCCCTGGGACCTCACAGTCCTCCTCATCGTGTATGGAGGGCCAGGAAGGGCTCTATAGTCAGGGATTCTGAGTCCAAATTTAAGTGGGAAGCAGACTTTCTGCTTGAACACAGATGCCCAGGGTGTGGTTGGAGCATTTGTGATGCTGCTGCAGGAGACTGGCTCTCTAGGTTTGTCCCAGTGGGCTACCAGTATTGGGACCAACAGTGGTTCTTTCCCTGTAGCTTTTGCCATGTGCCTGAACTCCTGAACATCTTACCTGCCTCCAGGGGACAGGAAACAAGAGTTCTTTATGAATGCTGTTAGCTATGAGAATTTTTTTTTTTTAACCACTGAAACTAAATACAGGCGTGCTGCCTGGGATGTTGTTTTCCAGAGGAGAAAGGCAGAGCCCAGACTAGGGAAGAGCTCAGTAGGATCACATGACTAAGGAAGGGCCAGGACCCAGGTTCCCCGGTTCTCCTCCCAGGTGGTGCTTTTGGTCAGCCGGACAATTTTTCTGCTCATCCCTGGACTTCTCTGTCATTAACAAAACCTCTCCTCTTTGCCGAATTACAGAAATGGCTTCAGACATCCCTGGCTCAGTGACGTTGCCCGTCGCCCCCATGGCGGCCACTGGACAGGTGAGGATGGCGGGGGCCATGCCCGCCCGAGGAGGAAAGCGGCGATCCGGGTAAGCCCCCTCGGCGTTTCCTGGAACTGCGTTGGATATGCGTTGCACAACATTCTTGACCTGTTAGGAAAATATTGTCTCTCCCTGTCCCAGAGAGTAAGAGCTCAGCAGTTTGCATCCTGTTTATTAGATTCCGCGGGATTCCTAACCAGGCATGTGATCGCCTCTTAAGTGTTTTCGGACCTCGGCACCCAGCTGGGGACTTCTGTTTGCTTGTCCTTGCTGTGCGAACGGCTCTGTGGTCCTGCTGGGCCTCCCTCCAGCCACCTCTCTCAGGGAGGGGGCTCACCCATCCCTCCGCCTGAGCCCCTCAGCCAGAGGCAGCCCTGAGGGTCGAGCTTCCGCTCCTGTGGGCAGCAAGGATCCCGCTGGTGCTTTCTGTTCTTTGCTCTGGCTACCAGTCTTTGCGAGGTGCTGTGTAGGAATTCCTCTCAAAAAAAAAAAAAAAAAAAAACCTGGCTCTAGTCCAGCACCTAAAGGCGGGGCAGCTTCCATTGTAATGTTGGTAAGAGTGATGAGTTCTGGTGGGACCAGAAAGACCATCACTCTTGAGCCAATGGAACCCAAAACAGCATCTACTCATGATGTCCCACATCTGTGACTGAGTGCAGGCCTCAGAAATAAATCAGCCATCACAGATCTCTGAAGGAAGAACACAGTCGACATTGTCAGACTCTTGTTTATCAACCAGCTCCTTTTCTTCATTGAATCAACTTCATTTTCAATGAAATATTTGATATACAAAGTTTCTCATGTAGAGTCAGTTTGTCCTATGAATGCATTTTCCTATAACACAGGTTCTCCCCGGGAAGACAAGGCTCCTCATTTGTAAAATGGCCCAGCGTTTTAAACTCGAGAGTCTCCTCTTAACCCATGCGATTCTTAAAGGTGCATGGGCTGGCCCCAACAGGCTTGGAGGTGGGGGGCAGGTGCGTTTTGAGGCTCTAGAATGGAATAGGGTAGGATGAAAAAGCGCCTTCAGCGTTATCATTTCAGATTATGAGAAGACTGCTGCCTATATGCTGGTCTTCAAAAGAGGGGCTAAGATTTTGGTGATTACGGAGGGGGTTATGGAGCCTGGTTCCCCACCTTCCCTTGGTTCAGCTCCCTCCCACCCCTAAATGCCCCCAGGGTGCTGATGCAGCCAGAGTTCCATCTTGACAGTGGGACCCATGGCGCTGTTGCGAGCAGTGGGTTGCTAGGGGCCACACTCCTCAGATCAGCCTGCCTTCGGGGCTTACTGCAAACCCAGATATCCTCCTTTAACCAGCTCTTCTTTCTAACTAGATGCTAAACTCAGTGGAATCTGGGTTGTTAAAAGAATGCACTTCCTGTCAACATATCAACTTACTGCATGGTTTTTTTTTTAAAGAATCCAGGTCTTTTAAAAATTATTTTAAATGCCTATGCTCTCTCACGTCCATTCCCTGGGGACAGAGCCTCAGTGTGGGCCCAGTCCTTTTTAAGAAGAAGCCGGCACTGGACTCTCTGATGCCGGAAGGTAGGGCTGGGCCAGCACCAGGGACAGGCAGAGAAGGAAGTGGTCTCTGAGGGACTCTGCCAGGAGTCTGTGCCACCTCCCACCCCCCGCCCCCGCAGGCTGTGTGCTAGGCTTCAGCGAGCCCGCCGAGTTCCTGGCCCCGGCCTGACGTCTGGACCCTGACTTCCGCTGGCTCCCTGACTGATGGTTGGATGGTGGACTCAGGCGTCTTTGTGAAGGAGTCCTCCCAGCTGCCCCTTTCCCTCCCAGATCACGTATACTCAGTGTGTCTCTGGAGGTAGAAGGGGACCGTGGTGGGGGAGACTGAGACACAGCTTAGAGCAGGGGTTCCCAGCCGGCTGGGTCCCCCACGGTACTGGTCCATGACCTGTTAGGACCTGGGCTGCATAGCAGGAGGTGAGCCGCAGCGAGCAATACTTGCAGCTGTTCCGCATCACTAGCGTCACCACCTGAACTCCGCCTCCTATTGGGTCAGTGGTGGCATTAGATTCTCATAGGAGCTCAAACTCCACAGTGAACTGCACATGCAAGGGATCTGGGTTGCCTCGCTCCTTGTGAGAATCACCCTGAAACCTTCCCACCCCATCGGCGGAAAAATTGTCTTCCATGAAACCGGTCCCCAGTGCCAAAAAGGTTGGGGAGTGCTGGCCTAGAGTTCTGCTCCACTTAGAGCCAAGGAAGCCCAACGCCAAGCAAAGGAACCAGAGGTTCAAGGGGATGAGCAGCGATTTGCTGACACACCCTCCCAACCAGGAGGAGAAGGGCACACACCCCCAGAGGCAGATCAGGGAACCAGCCGCCTCCCGGAGGCCTGTCCTTCATTTTCTTCATTCTTGGAGCCCTGCGCCTGCCTCCATTTCCCGCTTCAGAGGGAGCAGCCAGAAAACTGTGCTTCCTTCTGCTAAGGCCCTGGGCCTCACAGCGGGGAGCTCTGTGTCTCAGCTAAGAAACCTCCCTTTTCACAGGGTGGTTTCCAGAGTAATTCTTACATCTGATATTTTTACATGTTTTGCTGAAATTCTGTGATGGAGGCCATCAGTGTTGTAGAGTGGCCACAGCAGTGATAGGCTCTTCTGCTCTCAGCCCCCTGGCTTGTACAAAGGAGACCCCGATGGAAGTCATGTTCCTCAAATAGTGGGTCACCCCACTCGGGGTCCCTGCCTGTGAACTGTGGCACATTTACACATGCTTCCCCATCGCTGCCACCTTGGCCCTCCTCCTCCTTCTCTCCTAGAGTGTTCGGCACAGTTGGAGACACGGGGGCGGGGGAGAAGGAGAGAGGAGAGGTGGGCTGTGTCGTTGTTCAGTCGCTCAGTCGTGTCCAACTCCTTGTGATCCCAGGGACTGTGGCACGCCAGGCTTCTCTGTCCTTCATTGTCTCCTGGAGTTTGCCCAAACATGTCCAGTATTCTTGCCTGAAAAGTCCCATGGACAGAGGAGCCCGGTGGGCTACAGTCCATGCGGTTGCAGAGAGTTGGACGTGACTGACGTGACTTAGCATATTAGCACACATATCCATTGAGTTGGTGATGTCATCCAACCATCTCATCCTCTGTTGCCCCCTTCTCCTTCTGCCTTCAATCTTTCCCAGCATCAAGGTCTTTTCCAGTGAGTTGGCTCTTCACATCAGGTGGCCAAAGTCTTGGAGCTTCAGCTTCAGCATCAGTCCTTCCAATGAATATTTAGGGTTGATTTTCTTTAGGATTGACTGGTTTGATCTCCTTGCTGTCCAAGAGGTGGGCTGTGGGGGGTGGAAAGGTCCTTCTTCCCGCTCCTCTTCCCTGCCCAGATCTTCCCACTCTGACTTGGTTATTCTGGTGGAGGAACTTGTCCCGATTCCCAGGATAACTACCCAGCCCTGGGGTTTCAGAGCCAAGTAGAACTGACCCCTAGCGGGTTTGGCTCCCCTGGCCACATGCCTGGCCCAGTGCCGGGGATCCTCTGGCCCGAATGTTCCTTCCACTCCCTGACAGCCTCCCCAGTACATGTCTTAGCAAGCTGCGTGCTCTGCGGGCAGTGGGGACACAAGGTGAAGGTTCAGAAGTTTCAGATTCTTTGCAAAGTGATTCCACATGTGTGAGAGAAGGAAGCAGAAGCCAGTCACCTGGGCTGCATTTTTGTAGAGCGCTCCCTGGTCCCGCTGAGGGGGTGGGACGGGGCTGGGGGCACCCACAGGGCACACCGGGCTCTTTCCAAAGACAGGGGAATGGGCTGTCATTAGGTTGTGCCCACTCCAGAGTCAGCCCCTGTTGGGAAGGGGAGCTAAGGGTGGTGGGGACCAGGAGTCCTAGCCCCTTCCTGCTGCCTTGGCGTCAGATGTCGGGCTTCTAAAGCATCATCATTGAGGGGAATGATTTCCAAATTGTGTGCAGTACACCGGCGTCTCCCTGCAGTGTAAGCCCCTGGCTGCTGGAATGTGGTGAAATAAAAGGCATGTTACATAAGTACATGTTTCGCTTGGTTCGGATTTATGCAGTAGTGATGTTGTCATCTGGCATTTGCTGGCACCCATGTCCCTTCTTCACCTTTTGTCAATAGCAGCTTTGAGCTGGCCCAGGGGTGCTCCTTTGCTGAGCTCTGCAACCAACCTAGCAGGCACAGCCTGTCATCTTTTCTCATAAGAACAAAAGTGGATTCTTTGATGACTCATAGTGGATGATGCATTATTATTATTATTACACAGTCGCTGTGAGGCGGATTCACATTGCTCACTCTGAACCAGATGCAAGCTCAAAAGTGCCTTTTTATTGAGGGTAGAAATCATGCAACAGGAAAGTGAGGCAAAAGGCATTTTCAGCCCACCTTTGGAGGACTCTTACATCATCCACTGATGGTACCGAATTCTTCAAAGTGAACACAGTAGGACTTAAAAGTCATATTTTGATTTTTATCCTTTATTATCCAGATGCTGCAGTATAATAGAGATGCATAAAAGATGTAAAACAAAGGATGATTTACTTGGAGGTTTTATAGCAGGAGAAATAAACAGAACTATTGGAGTCATATTTAAAGTGGAGTATTTGAATTGGTGACAAAAGACCCAAAGACAGGGTCTTGGCAAGGGGTCTTCCAAAAGATCCTTCTGTCCTCATAAGTTGCAATTTTTCTGTGTGGCTGATGAGCAGTGAGTCGTTTTGGGGTCAAGTGAGTTACCCTGAGGATCTGAACAGTCCTTTGTGTCCTGTTTTCTCTCCTGAGTTCACCCCCACACGATACATTTCACAATTCCTACATGTGATCGAAGCTCATATGTGATCACACACCTGCATGGGTAGAAAGGTACAGATTTGTGGTCCCTGAATTTTCATAGAGAAGTCCTGCTTCCTCAGTTTTCAGCAGACTTCAGAAAACTGCCTCCAGAGCCTGGCAGTCCGTCTCTTACACTCTGCTTGATTGAGTTGATGTGGTCCAGACTGGGACGGTTTACCGTAAAGCTCTCCTCTCTACCTGTCTGCCGCTTGAGGATGGGGTAAAGAATTGAGCTGTCCTTATGAAAACGAGGGTGACGAATATTCCTGGTTAGCCTGGGGCTTCCCCGGTTTCAGCACTGAAGTCCTGTACCCCCACGGATCCCCTCCTTCTGGGAAAATCAGGATGATCGGTCACCCTCAGTACTCCAAAGATCCTGCAGGCTGAGGAGGGACAGCTATCTAAAAAATTGCATCTTGCAGGAGTCAGATGATCACACTCCTATCAACTAGAGCTGAAAGGCATTTTAAAGATAACTGATCATCTCACAGCCACTTGAGGTTTTTCTAAATGCTTGCATAAATCCATTGGAATTCTGAAAATGCGATTTCTTTTTCTCAACAACGGAGCTGTTTTTGACAGCCCAGGGGTGTTAAGTAACCTTTCTGTCTGCAGCAAAGTCGCTCTTACGCATGATTAACACTAGGTGGCAGTGTGGTTCCGCAGTGCTGCAGGAGCCCAGAGACAGGCTTTTTAGTGCTTTCTTCTCCCAAATGTAATTTTCAGGAAAGGTGAGCGGCCTTAGTAGCTAAGAAGCATTTTGATGACTTTCCTTCATTTAGAAGGTTGTACATTCAGCCTTAATTTTCCCACAACGTAAACAACTCTGCTGCTGCTGTCTGGTACCCCGTTACCCAGTCTGCATTGTGGGGGGTCCTTGTCTCTCTCTCCCAGGGATGTTGTAATTCTGTTTTTCCTTTCTTATAATTTTCTTCCCTGCCTCCCCTCCTCTTTGTGCACGAGTATTTTTGCTATCGTTACCGTCGTCTCTCCAGTTATATAACCCCTTTCGTTCCTTTATTCTGAATGTGAGCCCTCATGTCTGGAAACTGGGGGTTCTAAATGGGCATAAATCCCATCGGGTCATCTCAGATCAGAACTCTGGTCACACTGCTCATGAAGCAAGATAAAAATAAACAAATGATTGTAAAAAAGACAGTGTTCCTTTGCCCTGTGTCATCCCAGTCCTTTGGTTTCCCACGTAACCCCAAAGCCTCGAGAGTTTACCTCTTTAGGGGGCTCTCCCATGTGCTTGTGGAGTGATAGCTCTTCTCTTGAAAGTTGGCCAGGGAGCCCCGAGCCCTCCCCACATCAGCACTACGTCCTGTGCCCCAGCCTGAGAGCTGGGGATGGGGTCATATCCCCCATGAGGCCAGCAGCTGTGGTCCTGGAGCACACCCGCCATTCTTTTGGCAAGCTCCTGGCCACCAAGCAGGCTGGACTCCCTTCTGCCTGGAGTCCACCAGAACTGTGTCCTACTCAATCCATCAGGTCCCCTAAGAACAAGATGGGGAGTGCAGAATGCCTGAGACGTTCTTCCCCAAGGAAGCCCACTCCCAGTGAATGTCCAGGAGAGTCAAAACATCTGTACTGTTTTTATTTTGTTCCTGAAGACTCTGGGTACACCTCGTACTAATTAACTGTTCTGCCCTAACATCTTCAAGGAGTAAAATTAATTGACATTAGAGAGTGCTGCTTTGTTGTTTTTCTTTTATTGAGAAGGAGAGTTTGGGATATCAGCTAAACAAATATCAGTCAAAACTTTTTGTTCTCTGTTTGTTTGGAGAGACCCAGTAAAGTGGGAATCCGAGTATGTCTTGGGTGAGTTTCAATAAGCAGGCGGCCACTCTGACTAGCTCAGGCACCAAACAACTGTATCTCCTCCCACGTCCATTTACTTGGACCCAGAGTTTATAGGGTAATGGCCTTAAATGCCTTTTTCACTTAGACTCATCGAGGCCAGCCAAGTCGTCACATGGCACAACCAGCAGTATGTCTTCTTTGCCTCTAAAGCTTCTTGTTTCCCAAGCTCCCTGGAGCTTTCTCCATCTGTTAATATACCACTAGATAGTCAAAGGAGGAAGTCCAGTGTTGACACATGACGTAGAGGGGTGCAGGTATCCCCAAAGATGGTGGGAGATAAGGGGTGTTGACTTTTCCAGCACGCAGCCTGTAAAGTGTTCTTGAAGGGTCGAGTCAGTATTTCAGCACTTTGCAGAAGCCCTCAACCATGTGATTAATAACGCTGGTACTGTAGACCTTTCATTTTGTCTTTTCTTGTCCCAAACCCGTTTGAGGACTGTGTGGATATACTGTTTATTGCACTGTCAAGGGCTGGGATTGTTGGAGAGCAGTCTGACCAAATCAACCCCCCTCTGAGCCAACAGCTCTTGTGTCCAGTTAAATGTTCTACTTCTAACAAATGTTCACTTGTGAACTTGACTTTTCCAGAATGGACTTTGATGATGAAGATGGCGAAGGTCCCAGCAAGTTTTCAAGGTGAGTTTCCTTTATGTTCCCTAGATTTAAAGAAGCCCAAACAGCCAGTTATCACCTTGTTGGAATGTACAGGGGTTTGAATGTCTTTCGTCACTGAAGAAAACCATTGCCTGTTATGTGGCATGGGAGGGGAGTTTGGGGGAGAATGGATACGTGTATATGTATGGCTGAGTCCCTCCACTGTGTACCTAAAACTCACAAGGTTGTTAAATGGCTGTACTACAATACAACATAGTTTTAAAACCTTTAGAAAAAGAAGAAGAAAAAAGCCATTACCTGTAACTTCACGGCCTTGTCCTTCATTCTGTGCTCATATTTGGCTCAGGGACAGGTCACTCTTAGCAAAACCTGCTATATCCCAGCCTAGATTTTCAAAAGTTAAGTATTAACAAGTGATTAACTCTGTTGGCTTTTTAAATTAAACAGACTGCCAGTTTTAATGGATCCCTTTTTAAAATACAGGCCTAAAGTTCAAGTTTAGAAAAACAATCAAGATAAAACCTCTTTTTCTACCATGGGAAATAAGGAGAAATATAAGAAACCTGGGTGGCCCTGTTCTGGATGCAGAATACTGGACCTTAAGTTCCTAAGAGCTACATCACTCGCTGGCCACGTGACAGCATCTCTAACTAGGCTCTGCAGGGCTGTCTGGAGTGCAGACTGCCTTCCAGAAGGATGCTAGCCTGTGGGTGCTGTGATGGTAGGTGCGTCACTTACATGAAGGGTGAGGCGTGCCCAGTCCCATGGCTCTTTATTATTATTATTATTATTATTATTATCTTGTTTTAAGTTATGGGAGGAAGTTTGGCAATGTTGAGAAAAAGAGCAAAGATCATTCCTTCAATTTTAGCAAACTTCCCATCTGGAAGGACCTGCCTTGACATTCCTCCCCCCTCCACCCCCCACTGCCCAAGAATTGCTAATTCTTGGTTGCTGATGAATTTGAAAACCTACCCTGGGTGATGGGTACCTTTCTCTGGTATGCACAGACCACAGTTCGTACTGACAGCCTCGGTTATTTTATAAAAGTTTTGAGGACTTTCCCGGCGGTCCAGTGGCTAAAACTTCACCTTCCAATGCAGGGGGTGTGGGTTCGATCGCTGTTCAGGGAGCTAAGATCCCATATGCCTCATGGTCAAAAAACCAAAACATAAAACAGAAGCAGTATTGTAACAGATTCAATAAAAGCTTTAAAAATGGCCCACATTAAAAAAAAACAAAACTTTAAATGTTTAGAAGAATGATGTCTGTATTGAACTCTGTACCCATGACCTCCCCAAGTTTGCTCATTCCCATGGAAGTTACTTTTGGTCGGGTTCCTTTTACCCGTATTATAGGTGTGAATCCTTTCCCCAAACCCAAAAGGAACAGGCATCTAGTTCCTATTCCTGGGCCCGGACTCTCCAGGTCCATTGAAAGTCTCAACCTTGATTCACTTTCCTCCCCGAGAACTCTTGAGTTCCATCCTCCCCTCAGTTCCCATGAGACAGGAGCGAGGAGGTGGAACCCTCTTTGATCTCTGATGACCCTTCTAATCAAATCAAGACACAGATTTCAACAACAAGAGCATGTATTATTTTCCCCTGGGTGCAGACAGAACCCAAGGGACGTCCACCTCTTTCTTAGGATACAAATGACTAGCAGGAGTGCTGTGTTCCTGAAAGGAAGCTGGCCTGGGAAATAAGGGCACATGTCACCCCAGGTTGGTTTGTGCTAGCCTTACACAGCTTCCCTTTGTGAGGAAACAAAGCCTTGTGATTCCTCTGAATCAGAATTCCCCTGGAGATAACGTTCCATAGCGTGTTGACCTTAGGAAGTGACGGTTCCTGGGTCTCAGAACAGAAGGAGGAAGAGAGATGAGGAGTGACATTTGTTTGACATGGAAGATCAGTGTCAGTGATGAAATAACAGTGCAAGGACACAGAGAACTCATTGTCTGAGGTCCCTCCAGGAAGAAACAGAAACCCTAGACTCTGTGCTGTAAGCCTGCCCTTGAGTCAGGTTGTACATAAGTCAGGGTTCAAACCTGGGCTTCTGTGAGCCACGTCCTTACCCCTCCCCACACATTAAAAATAAGAGGGAAAGATGGGGTGAGCTTACAACATATGCTGATGCTGGCGGGAGCCTGGGGCTGCTTCAGTCTGTCGGCAGAAGGGTTGATGGACCTGTCGGCTGCTGGGGACATCTGAGCTGCTCCCAGCTGGGGAGACCACTGAGTCCACCCCTCCCTTCGCTTTGCCAGCTGCACTGGCCACCATCCAGAGGCAGGCCAGAGAGACTGCTGCAGGCTGTCTCCCTTGGTGGCAGGCATGGCATGCCTTGGGGTGGCTTCTGTTTCCTGCTCCTTGTTCTCAGTCAGCCGAGGGAGCCCTCAGGCCAGGTGTCGGAAGAGAGGGGCTGAGAGGCAGGCGTCTCACCAGCAATTTGCTGTCTCAGAACCCAGCCAGTGCACTAGACCATGGTTTCTGTCACCCTGAGCTACCCTGGTCGCTCAGATGTAAAGATCCCCCCTGCAGTGCACGAGTCATAGGAGACACGGGTTTGCTCCCTGGGTCCAGAAGATCCCCCCCAGGAGGGCATAGCAACCCACTGCAGTATTCTTGCCTGGAGAATCCCATGGACAGAGGGGTCTGGTGGGCTACAGTCCATAGGGTCATAAAGATTCAGACACGACTGCGCAACTGACACTTCACTTCTTTACATCACCCTGATGTGTGCAGCCAGCTTTCCCAGCTTCTCTTGACCGTGGTCCCAAATTCAAACGTCCCACCTGACATCAGGCGTTGTGTCTCAATTTCGGATTTGGGGATTACGGTCACAGTCACAGAGGAGGTACATTGTGGCCAATTAGGTTTGCTTCCTATGTTCTCACAGCAGGTCTCAAATATTAAGCTGCTTACGGCTGGCTGCCTGATCACACAGATGTGCACACATGCATTTTTTAATAGATAAAAGAGGATTTATTTATATATGTGTGTGTGTGCTAAGTCTCTTCAGTCGTGTCTGACTCTGCGACCCCATGGCTATAGCCCTTAAGGCTCCTCTGTCCATGGGATTCTCCAGGCAAGAATACTGGAGTGGGTTGCCATTTCCTCCCCCAGGGGATCTTTGCAACCCAGGAATTGAATCCTTGTCTCTTGTCTCTTGCGTTGGCAGGTAGGTTCTTTACCACTAGTGCCACCTGAGAAGCCCTTATAAATATATACATGTATATATATCCCCTGCCTTGGGCTTGATCCAAAAAATACTGATGGTGGCTTAAAAAGGGATTGCAAAAAGTTTTTTTTTAGATTTATTTATTTTATTTGACTGTGTTGGGTCTTCACTGCCGTTGGCAGGCTTTTCTAGTTGCAGCCAGCGGGGACTACTCTGTAGTTGTGATGCGTGGGCTTCTCATTGTGGTGGTTTCTCTTGTTGCCACCACCACAAGAGAAGGGCTTGTGGGCTCTAGGCATGCAGGCTTCAGTAGTTGTGGTGCATGGGTTTAGTTGCTCTGAGGCATGTGGGATCTCCTCAGACCAGGGATTGATCCCCTGTGTTGGCGATTTCTTAACCATTGTACCACCAGGGCAACCCCATAGTAACTTTTTGAAAAATGTTCAAAGTCTTAAATATATTACTCTTCCCCTAGAGCTGGCTGCTTCCAAACTTAATATTTTGCATGTTTTCTCTCTGTTGCTTGGTGACTATATTTGCTTCTCCTTTCTGCAGTTGTCGTCTTACAGCTGATTTTTGCTGATTTGTCAACAGATGTTTTACTTTCTGTTTCACCAGTTCTGGAGGAAATGTGTAGGGGTACTCAGCTGCTGCGCACATGTCCACACCTGTGCACACGCAGGGGTGCACACACCTGGTGCCAGGGCCAGAAATGCCCAAGACTCGCCTCACCGTCCCCAGGTCTCAGGCTTCCCTCCCCCATGCTGTTGATGCTGCTCTGGGGGCTGGGACATGCAGGACAGGGCTCTGCTGACCAAGGTGCTCCCTTCCCCACACACAAAGTCACGGGCAACCTGGGGGACAGAAGCTGGTCTGCAGGGGCCAAGGAGTGGACTGGGGATGAGGAACCGAAGACCAGAGGGGACAGTGTATTGAGCAGTTTGTTGTTCAGTCACTCAGTGGCTTCCGACTCTTTGTGACCCCATGCACTATAGCCCGTCAGGCTCCTCTGTCCACAGGATTTCCCAGGCAAGTACACGGGAGTGGGTTGGCATTTCCTCCTCCAGGGGATCTTCCCGACCCCGACCCAGGGATCAAACCCGGGTTTCCTGTGGCTCTTGTATCGGCAGGCAGATTCTTTACTGCTGAGCCTCCTGTATTGTGTAGTGGTCATTAAAACAGAAGAGTGGACACATGAAATAGAGATGTTCTTAAATGTTGGTGGTTGTTGTTTTTTTTTAATTTTTGGCCATGCTGGGTCTTCCTTGTGGTGCCCAGGCTTCTCTAGTTGTGTCACATGGGCTTTAGTTGCCCCACGGCATGTGGGATCTTAGTTCCCCGACCAGGGCTCAAACCCTAGTCCCCTGCATTGGAAGGCGGATACTGGACCACCAGGGAAGTCTCTAAATTTGGAGTTTATATCTTAGGAACACCCAAGTGCTCACTCCCAAACCTTTCATTTTTGTTGCTATGTGCTATCACCCTGATTTTTTGCTGCATTCTTACTCATTTTGCATCCTTTCTCAGAAGACTCAGAAGGTCTCGGAAGGAGTTCTCATACCTGTTGCTCTGAATTCATTTATAGCGCATGGGGCCATTTACAAACCTGAAATCAAAAGACCTGGATGGGTTTTATTAGCCTCTCTTCCACCCTTCCTTCACCCTTCACCTTTTGAGGACCGTCTCTGAGCTTCCCGGTGTCCCACCTTTAATCTGTATGACTTTCAACTGTTCCCTCGGACATGGTTGAACCCAGTTGCATTAACCCTAAGGAGTTGTGATATTTTGCAGGGTTTCGCAAGTGAACTGCTAACATTATCTAAAAGTAAAGCTATCCACGATAA